TGGTCACTACTCCGGGTTTTCTTCTTGGCCTCGCGGGTCGGATCTTGGTTGGAGAGGGCCCGGAGTGGGTAGAATCCAGGCCAGGGTTTTTCCCTCCCTTTTCCAGCCGTCGGGGTGCTGCTAGTCGGGAATGGCAGTGCCGAGGGGCAAGACAGTGGTGCCAGATGCACCAGTGAAATGGAGAGGGGGCTACTTCGCGGAAAAGGGGCATTGTTGAGGGAAAGGAGGGTGGACGAGTGCCCTACGGAGGGCAGAACCAGAGCCTCCAGGGGCAATAGAAGGGCAGGTGCCCTTCTTGGCACTAGACTTTAGGTACAAATGACAGAACAGTGCCCAATGCCTAAGGCTCTCCCTGTCATCTTTGGGGATAGCGTCCGACGTCTTGCTGGATCCAACTTGGGTATTTACCCAACTTGGATCTTTCAGTGGCCAAAATGTCATTCCCCACTTGATTCTCGACAGTCCTGGAACCTCCTCATAGTTCCTCGGTGATCCTCTCCCACGTTTCTCTTATGCTGGTCCACACATCTCCTTTCCTCGCTCAGAAGTTGAAGGGGGGAACCCCGACTTGAAATTCCCGCCTACCCCCCAACTCCGGGCCCTCACCGTGCCAAACCACCGAGACAGCTGCGGCCGAGAAACGCTGACTGGGGGCCCTGCCCCCTCCCACGACACCCAGGTTGGGCCCCAGGGGCCTGCCGCCACCCGCACTCCGCCCCCAGGCCCAGACTGGAACTGGGAACTGAGGGCAGGTGTCTGGCCTGCAGGGGCCTCCTGGGGATAGGGGAGCGTCCCAGTTACGCACGCTCTAACTTACATTTTAGGCGACCAACTAAACCTTAATTTGGAGGGGAAAGTAGCAGGGTGGGTAAATACCAAGAGAATGAAGTGTTTGATCAAAGAGAAGGATGAAAGCCCCGGCGGGAAGTTAACCCTCCTAGGGAGGACTGATACTTGGGGCTGGCCAGGGACCCCGAATCTGACTGACGGCTGGCTGGGCCACGTGCTCCAAAGGGCATCCGCAGAGGATTTAGATGCTTGAAGAGAATGGACAAGAGAGGGCTTCTGGCGGAAGAAAAGGCCGGGTTCTGCCTGGGCGGGGTCCTGAGTGAGTAGGTCTGGGGGCCTGTTCTGGAATGTGGGGGGCTGAGTTGCAAGTGGAGTGTCAGCCTGCGCCAGGCGCCCACCTCTTCCCTGCTGCCCCCCTTCCCCCGGCTGCCTCCGCTTCCCTCGAAAAACCCGCCGCCCAGGAAACCGCTGGGGGCACTCAGACCGCAGCCCCACCCTGCCCCCCCCCCGCCCGCCGCCCCCCGGCGCCCCCACCGCGACCGCCCAACCCACCTGAAGGGGCCGTGGCTGCAAGGGTTGCCCCCCTCCCGCGAACTCCCCCCACACCTGCGGGCGGCACTATTTATAACTCGGCGCCTATTCCGGGCCTCTCCGCGGGAGCGGGCTGTGGCGCAGCGCTAATCATCGCTGGGATCTCTGCGCCCCCCAGGGCCAGGGGAGGTAAATTTAGCTTCAGGAAGCTCGGGGGAACATTTTCCAAAACTCCACGTCCCGGAGACGACTAATCAGAACCCCTCTGCTCTCAGTTTTTCTCAGGCCAGCCACCAGGCGGCGCAGGTCCCCGGGTTCCCGGAACCCAACTAGGAGTGTGGCTCTGCCTCAAAGGTGGGTTAAGTAAAGAGTTGAAGGCGAAATACGGAGGGGTTAGCTGGAGGTGGGAGCTTCCACAGAATGACCTGGAGGAGAATGGTTATGCTCCCGAGAGTCTGGAGTACAAAGCCTCAGCTGGGAGTAATTGAGAAAGGGGCTGGCGACTAACGCCTTTTGAAGGGGAAATAACTCATGAAAACGAGATGCAAATAGGGACGCAAATAAGGGCCTCTGCCTTTGGGGGTCTGTTCTCCGGTGCTAGTGAAACGACAGCCACATTCCCCTTTACAATGGCCTTGCTGAGAAATTGTGGGACCCTCCCAAGACATTACTGTAATATCCAGTTTATTGCAAGTGGCTCCTCAGACTACTTCGCTATGACCCCTCTCCACCTGCTTTTTGTAGACCATTGAGGGTCTTACAGCCTACCACAAAATCAGCTTGGAATCCCAGTGTCAGGCTGCTCTTCCTCCTCAAGCTGGTCTTCCTTGTAAGTCGAGTCCCCCCTCTGCCTTGTTTCATTCCCCGTTTTACCCCACTGTTCCCCTACCCCTTGTGGCCACTAGAGGGCCCCAGGGAGCAGAGGGGCAGGTGAGATCTTTCCCACCCCTTTCTATTTTGGCATTCTGCTTCCCTTTATCCTTGCCCCACTACAGCACCCCCTGCCCTCTCCTGACAACTCTCTATTGAGTTCCTGAGAGAGTAGTTTGGACACTCAAAACCTGGGCTTACTCTAATTGCAAAGAGAATGTTGCAGGGAAGCCGCTGCATGTTTTTTTCCTTCTACAGGAGTGGGGATTTTACCATCTCCTGGCCTGTTGTGTGTTACCTAAACATGGGGAAGCTGGAGCCCCCAAATGAGCTTGAGAAACCAAGAACGAGGGGGGCTTAGGGTTCAGGTGGAAGTGGGAGAGCATGGAGTGGGCGTAGAATGGGGGTGGCAGTCGCTTCCATACTTCTGCTGGCCTGGTCCTGCCTCTCAGGCCACCCAGGCCACCATCCCCAGCACCAGTTCAGAAGAGGGCAGGCTAATTGAGAGAAGCCCTGAATTTGAGATGAAAAAATCTGGATTTACTACCAGAGTGTGCTATGGGTATGACTTTGGATAGGTCACCCTAACTCTCTGGGCCTGTTTCCTTCGCTGTTAAAATGGGATGATTATCTTTGTTCTGTCAACTTTTGAAGTGGACTTTTGTAAGGCTCAAAGCACTTTGTAGCATGAAAAGGGCTCTCAGAATGGTATGTGAGCTTTTTGTTATTCTCCCCCTACCTCTCAGTCTTTCCACATTCAGGGCTGCCTTTTCAGCTCTGACACTCCCCTGGGCCCACTGGAAGTCTCTAATCTTTTCCCTCAGCTCCTCACCACAGGCCATAGCCCTGGGCCCTGACTCCTTCCACCTACCACTCCCCCAGTGGTCTTTGGCAGACCTCCCCTCCCTTGGCCAAGGCCCTTGTGCTTATAACTTTCAGACTCCAGGATCCACCTCCAGGCACTGCTCAGCCTGGTGGGAGTGGGGTCTAAGAAAGGAAAAGGAGGCGGAAGGCCAAGGAAAGCCTGGAGCTGGCCAGGAAGGAAACAGGTTATAAGCCCCAGATTCAGGTGGGAAGATAAATTCTGTATCTACCTCTATACTCACCTCTCTGGTTGGATTCAGGACGTTACCCCTTATCACTTATGTACCCTGGGGTGAGGGTAGGGCTCCGAAGGGACCAGGCACGAGCAATGCCCTACATTTTCTGGATGCCTAAAGAGGGTGCTGAACTGCCAGGGATAAGAAATAATCTTGACTTGGAGTACTATACTGCCACAAAAAAAGAATGGGCAAGCTTTAAAAGTGGTGACTGATGTGGAATCCTGCACGAAGCGTATTACGGGAAGAAAGCAAGGTACAGAACCATGTGTAGAGTATACTATCAACTAAAAGAATAAGCATATGCAGAACGTAGCCCCCTCTCACCACTGCTATTACTGTAAGACTGCTCCAAGGCACCGACATCTCCAGCCAGGATTGTGCCCATTACCTCCTAACAGGTCCCTCCTATGCTACTCCTGCTCCCACTAAGTCTATTTTCAACACAGCAGCCAGTGAGAGCCTTTTAAATAAAAAATCAGTTCATGCTCAATACCCTGCAATAACTCCTCCTAAAGTCTCAAGTCTTACCATGGTTTACTAGGTCTTCTGCGACTTGCCTCCACTCGAGTCCCCAGTTCAACTTTTTCCTTTTTCCGTAGTAGCTATCACCTAATAACATCTCTAAACTTTTAATATTTTATTTTCTGTATCCACCCACCAGAATGTAAGCTCCACAAATATGAATATCTCTTTTGTTCATTGCTGTATTCAAAGCACCCAGATTGGTATAGAGTAGATGCTTAATATTTGTTAAGTGAATGCATATGCAGTATATGCATAGACTATTTCTATAATGCTCTCCAAGAAACTGGTAACCATGGTTACCTCTAGGGAGGAGAGCTGAGGGCTGGAGAATAGGTGTAGGAGGGAGCTTTACTTTTTACTATCAGAATTCTTTACTCGAGGCATATATTAACTTTACAAAAAGAAAAATAGAATAATCCCAGAAAAAAAGAGTTAACTAAGAAGGCTGAGGAATAGCTGGTCCCTGGGAGTGAGGGAAAGGCTGCATATACCATCTCCAGGCCTATACCTCAGGAGAGAGGGGCGGGGGCAATAACTGAGCCCCAAGCAGGGCCAGGGAATGATGGGTAGAGATCCCAGGGATGCTTTGAACCGGTCCTATGGCTGGCTCTGAGTTTGTAGGGGGCTGTGGGTGGCAATGTCAGTAAGCATGAGTAAGCATGCACAAGACAGTGTGAATGGCTCATGTGTACCTACCACTGGGGGTAATTCAAGGAAAATAATTGTTGGTGACTGCCAGGTGGAAGTAGAGAGTTGATTCTGTTCCTTCTGGTTATGTCCTGTGATAAGCCTGCGGAACTTGTGTGGCCACACAGGTGCCTCTTTCTTGCAGCGCTGTGAGCTGGAGGAGCAGGGCCTCACCCTCTCCCTGAGCTGGGGACTAGCATCAGCCCAGGGCTTTCCCCAAGATCCTCAGAGGCAGGAGCTGGCTAGACTAGGTCTCTTATTTGTGTTCCCATCCTAATGCACAGGGCCTCATAAAAGACCCCGCCTAAGCTGGACCCCTCCCAACCCACAAGTTGGGAGGAACCCGGCCTTTCTACCCTCCCTACTCAGGCACCAGTGAGTCAGGAAACCTGACTTTCAGTCTCAGTTCCACCCAGGGCAACCTCCTTCCCTCCCTGGTCAGCACACTGGCCCTCCCAGTGCTAACTTTTTCTGATTCCCCTTTGGACACAGAACTTTCAGCCTCAAGTCCTATTTATTATATATATAGTTCAGGGATTCTCAGAGTTATTAGGGGGCAGCCCATTCCTGGCACTAAGAGGATATGATAAGATCAGCCACCTGGGCTGGTGGGCTCACTGTGCCAGGCAGGCTTACTGGGGTTCTGGCCAGCAGGCCAAGGCCCTGCCCACCAGAGGCCCACCAGAGGTGGGGGCTGGGAGTGGAGGCCTAGAGATGAGGCAGGTCTGACAGATGGCACCAACTCCAAGCAGGATCCAAACTTCACTTGTTTGGGGCCCATTCTTGGTCAAGCGCAGCTGGCCACAGGCATCTGGATGGGGTTTGGGCTGAGCACTAAAAAAAATAGAAAGCCGAGAGGCAGGCTCTTCCGCAGAAGCTGCAGCCATGCCTCCTGTCTGTTTGCCCTACTCTGCTCACCTGGGCGATGCCAACTGTGCTGCTGGTGGGGAGGCAGTTCTCCGCTGCCATCAATCCAGCAGCTCCTTGATACACCAGCAGCAGAGGAGGATGTAGGCAACTTCCTTCAGGGTGCGTTGCAGACCCTCCCACCTGGTGCCCATCTTTACAACAGGCACTCGGAGCCCAGCGTCTGGCAGGGTCCCTCCAAGGGAGAAGGGTAGGGCCTGGGCTAGGGGCTGTGTCCGGGCCTGCATGTGGGCAGCAGCTCTGAGGAAGGGTGTGGGAGCTGCCACTGGTGCCTTTTATCAACACTGTTTCCACCCCCACAGGCCTCATGACTACGGGGACAAAGGCCCCAGGGTCTAACGCAGGGAAGGTTCTGGGCAGGAGAGTGGGCTGAGTCAGCCCCTGTGCACTGCGATGGAGATGGAGGAGGGGTGGGTTCAGAAGGGGGCAGATCTGACCGGCCACTCCATCTTTCATCCTCCACAGCCAGGGCAGCTCTGCTACCTTCTTCCAGCCTGAGCCTAGAAACTTCAGGTACCCCTCAGGGGTTGGCATTCAGTCATCTCACCAACGAGAACTCCCTTCCAGCCCCTCACAGTGGGTATTGCCAGCTCAGAGCCGGCAAGGCCCGGCCCACGCTGCTTTTCCCACCCCTCTGGGAGCAGGAAGACACAGGCAGAGCAGCAGGCGCATGAAAGGAGAGGCAGTTTATTACCGAGAGGTTACATCCAGGGCAGCCTGCACTCCTCCTGGAGCAGGCAGGTCACATGCGGGAGTTCCGCTCTTCATCTTCATTCTCAAGTAGGTAGGCGGGACGGTAGGTGGGCTGTCCCCCCGGACCCAGGTACTTCAGGGCTGGGTTCTGCACTGTGTTCTGCTGGCTCCCCAGGGATGTGTAGCTGGAGCCAGGAGAGCAGAGGGCGAGTGTGTGGTGGGGTGGTTTTCCCTCTCTCAGCACCCACACCTTTCCCTCACACCCATTCTCTTCCAACACCCTTACCCCTGGTCGTACAGGATACAGTATGGGACAAACAGCTGACGCAGAAAGTCCCAGATGTCTCTGTAGGTCCAGTCCTGGGAGGTCAGAGAAGAATCACAAATACTGCCGCCCTCTCCCACTCTACCCCCTGCTGCCTGGGAAGGGGTCCATTCAGGGCTCTTCTGCTCTGAGGGCCTGCTATCTGATTCGCCGGTACATCTTGCTCTGTGTAGGCCAAGCAATGAAAAAGAGAAACCTTCATCCTGTGCCCTCTCCCCGCCCAATCTGCCCGCCACTGGCATGTGGGCTCCCGGAAGATGGGGAGGGGCTATGTCTGTGTGAGCCAGAGCTGTCCAATAGGATTTTCTATGATGATGAAAACGTTCTCTTTCTGTGCTAACAAGGCAGGCACTTGAAACGTGGCTAGTGCAACTGAAGAACTAAATTTTGAATTGTGTTTAATTTTTAAAATTGAGATATTGATTATAATTCACATGCCATTAAAATCTATCCTTTTAAGATATACAATTCAGTGGGTTTTTTTAGTTATTAGCATTTCATTTTAATTATGAGTGTAAATAAATGGCTAACGGCTACCATATTGGACATCACAGGTCTAAGTCACTGTTCTGTCCATAATAAAAAGCACAATGCCTGCCACTGAATCAGAGCTCAATAAATATTGGTCAAAGGGCTGAGTGAACAAATAGTACAGCCTTCCTTAGATGACGAGGCCCCTACTTCTACACCTCAGGCTCCAATGTCCTCAGCTCAGAGCGCCAGGGTGCAATGACTGATAGGGGACACGAGACTTAGGGCAGTGAGTGCTATTCTGCATTACCAGCAGTGGGTTGATGCGCATGAATGAGGGCCAGCCTGGGTCAGTGGGGCTGAAGGGGCAGAGGCTGCAGGAGTAGGGGTCGGTGCGGCGGGTGCCCATCAGGGTGGCCTCCAGCTGGGGGTGCTGTGCCTGCACCTGGCACAGAGCCTGCTTCATGTCGCCCTCAGCCTCCAGCACCTGCAGATTGTACCTGAGGAAGGAAGAGGGCTGAGGGTCACAAATGGGATCTGAAAGCCCATCTTGGAGCCCAGGCCGCCAGTACCTTTTGATAGTGTCCTGTAGAAACCGCTCCAGCTCAGGAAAAGGGGAGATGCCACGGATATACAGGATCTGGAGGGGTTCTTGAGTGTCAGGGTGCTTCCTGGGAGCGGGGAGAAACCACAGGCTTGCCAGCACGGGCAGCGAAATGCTCTCTGGAGAGCTTGCGCTGTTTCCGTGGCCCCTGGGATGCACACCTTCCCCACCTCTCCTTTCCTGTCTTTCCCATCCATCAGAATCTACTTCCTCTGGGAAGCCTGCTCTGATCTTTCACCTCTCAAATCCACAGCACATATCCATTTCAGGTAAGTAGGTATCCCCTCCTTCGTGGGACCAGGACCTCCCTGTGGTCCAGGATGGTGGCTTGCATGCACACACCCAGGGACAGGCATGTGTCAGATGCTCAATAAATATGGTGAGGGAATGGCACCAAGAGGTCACTGTGGCTACCTCCCTTCAAAACCCCACCCAGATACTACCCCCTTTCCTCCCTGCTTCCTAAGATGGGGAACCAGACCATGGGGAAGATCAGGTGTCCTGGTATCTCTGGGCTCTTGCTTCCAGGGGATAGGCTCACCTCTGCACAGCTGCGTGGAAGAGGTGCAGGAGGGCAGTGCAGTCCTTGCCCCCATTGAAGCCCACACAGAGCTGGGTGAGGCTGTACCGAGCCAGTGCAGTCTCAATGGTCTGCAGGGCACCTGCTACCTTTTTCCCCAGAGAAGACCCTGCCAGACAGGTAGTGAAGAGACCATCAGACACATATGACAGTGGGGTCACAACACCCTTGTTTAAAACTCTTCAGTATCTTTACAGTGTTCCTAGGATAAAGTCCAGATTCCTTCATGCTGCCTACTAGGTCTACAGAGTCTGCTCCCTGATGGCCACTCAGCCACACTTCACCTCAGTATCTCCCCTCTGGGGTCCTGGTGTCCTTCCATTCCCTTAAACTTCCTGTTAATTCCTTCTATGCCCTCTCCTGTTGGGGCCAAATCTTCCTTATCACACAGTTTATATGTCACTTGCCCAGAGAAGCCTTCTCTGACTGCAGTCAAAGGCTGATCTCTTGCTGACATCTCACACATGACTACCTGTTTAGCGCCTACCTTTCCTGTTAAACTACTGGTCCATGGAGAAGGGCATACGTCTGCCCTATTCCGCCATCTCCCCAACGCCCAGCACAGTGCTGGTGAAAGTGGGTACTGAACCAACATTTATTGGAAGAATGAATGAATCAGTTTAGCTATCCTCTACCTTCTCCTGGATTTTTGGGAGGCCTCCCCACAGAAAGAAAAAAAAAAGAAAGTTGCATCTGCCTGACGACGGGGCACGCTGCTCTCTGGGGGATACTGCCTATTCCTGAATTCCTGAGAGCTGTGGTCTGGTGCATCTGCCCTCTGCCAGGAGGCCCCTACCTGACTTGGAGAGTTTGTATACAGCCTCACTGGCATGCTCCGTGGCATTGGGTGTGTAGGGTACCAGTGATCCCTGAGGCAGACGGGCAGTCAGATAGGCCACGCATTCCTCCAGGGGTGCTTCTTCCTGTGAGTCCAGCGTCAGCTTCACCTGATAGTAGTTGCTGCTCCAGTCGGGGTAGGAACCCAGGCCAAGCCTGTGTCCAAAGTGGGCCTGCGCCTCGGCCAGGATGGGGGCAATTGAGGCCTCGTCGGCTGCCACATACAGCTCCCGCAAGTGAAACCGAACAGCTGTGTTTTGAAACAGTCCCTTCAGCCCCTCCAGCACCCGCTGCAGCAGCTCTGGGATGCCTGGGAAGAGGTAGACATTGCGGACCGAGACCAGTGGGAATCTGAAGGGGCGGCCGGTGTGCGGATCTGTGCCGTAATGCAGGCGGGCAGAGGAGGGCACCAGCGACAACTTCTCTGAGCCCTCCCTTCCTAGGGCTTTGATGGCTGCTTCCAGCTCAGGGTGTGGCTTGAGCTCATCCCCAAAGGCCTGTGCTACCGCCTCAAAGGTCACATCATCATGAGTAGGACCAATGCCCCCTGCTGTGAGGACGTGGGTGAAGCGGCTGGAAAAAGAGGTGACCTCAGCAGCAATGGTGGCTACTTCGTCAGGTACAACAGAGACTCGGCACACCTGGACCCCGAGGGAGCGCAGTGTCCGGCACAAGAAGTAGGTATTAGTGTCCTGAGTGTGTCCCTGGGAGACATGAGATGAGGAAGATGAGAGTGTTAGTGCTGTGGGATGAGGGGCACAGTGGGCAGGGACAGAAGTTGCATTTGCTTTCCCTGACTGGTGTGGTTCAGTGGGTTGGCCATCATACCAAAAACCAGAAGGTCGCTGGTTCGATTCCCAGACCACTTGCCTGGGTTGGGGCACGTGAGAGGCAACAATATTTCTCTCCCTCTCTTTCTCCCTCCCTCCCCCTCTCTAAGTCAATAAATAAAATCTTTAAAAAAAAAAGTAAGAAGGCAAGTTGCATCTGCCTGATAATGTGGCACTCTACTCTCTGGGGGATACCCCCTCAGGCTGCCAAGAATTCTGGGTGGAGCACAAGAGTGGGAAGATCCACGTGAATGGAGTCAAGGATGATATATCTCGGGCCCTCACCTCTGCACAGTGACCTTGACCTCATCTATGCTTATTAACTGCATTATCAATTCTACATGGACAACTCCTCCACTTTCTCACCAACCCAACAATCTCCGTCCCCTGACTCCAAGTGCCTGTCGGGCATCTTCGCCCTGTCCCTGGCTGTCAATGGCATCTGCGGGCATTGTCCGTAGCCACTGAGGCCCTTTATGCTGTCAACTCCACTTCTGAAATGTCTCCCCGCCTGCTCTCTTCTCTCTGACTCTACTGCCTCCAAGTAGGTCCTTCGCACCTTTCACCTGAATAGTTGTAACAGCCCCCTGGCCAGGCTCCCGGCCTTCCGCTGCGGTGCTCTGCCCGGCGCCTCCTGAATAACCTTCCTAATGTGTCACTGTGATTGCATCACCCTTGGGCTCAAAAGCCATTTGTTGTTTCCAACCGTATACAGAATAAAGTTCAAATTCTTTTGCAGGATATTAGAGGCTGTCTGTCCATGGTGTGTATGTAATCTTCTTTTCCAACCCCATCTCTGCTACTGCTCTGCAGAGTTTAGTAGTTTAAGTGGTGATTCTGGAGTAAGAGAGAATCAGGTTGGGAGTCTATCTTTAGCTTCCTAGCTGTGTTACCTTGGACAAGTTTCTCAATTTCTCTGGGCCTTAGTCTCATAATCTATTAATTAAGATTTATAATGTACCAATGTACCAATGCCATGGGGTTGGTGTAAGGATTAGTAAAATCACGTATGTGATGTAATGAGACCACTGCCAGGCCTTACTAAGCACCCAAAACATAGGGGCTATTGTTACAAGTACAAACCTGATGTCTACCATGACTTCCGGATCATTCAGAAGGGTTTTCTCCCTTCTAGTACTTTCCTTCTATCTCACTTATTCACTCTGCTGAGTGCCTTGGGTAATTCCTCAATAGTTTGTATTATTTAACACTTAAATAATACATGCACCTGTACCTCCTTCGCACGTTGGACTCCTTGTCATTTCTTTAAAGCCCCTCCTCCACCCTGGCAAATTGTGGGGACTTTGCTGTAAGTTTTCCAACAGAGTAATCAAAAAGATGAGGGCCACTTTTTCTCCACCATGTTGAACTCACTCCAGGATCCTACTGCAATGCAGCAAGGGGACCTGCACGCTGGTTCACCCTCTTTCAACGTAAAGCAGACTCTTAAAGGCAGAAGAACCCCCTCCCCCCTCTTCTGTCCCAGACACACCTTGAGGATCTCATCTCCAACGATGATAATGCCCGCCGTCACGCTGCGCCCTGGGGGAGGTTCAGAGGCCCTAGATGCCATGGTTCTGCTTTCTCTTCCCCTCTGCAAGGCCCTCCAGTAGCCACCCAGACCCCCAAATAGGGGTCGTAAGCACGGGAGTCCCGCCAGATCTAAAGGGCACTGGGGGCCATAGTCTGGGAACAGGGGTCCGGGGTCGAGGGAACCTGGAGGAGCCAGAAAGGACAATGGGGGAGAGCAGGAGGGCATGGTCTTCCTCACCAGGTCCTTGACAACGAACTTCTTTATCCCTGCCTCTTTAATAAAAGTGTTCTCAAAACCCAGCCCATGCCTCTTTAAACGCTTCCTAAGCTTGGCTCTAGTCTTATTAAAATGTCCTGCTCTTCTAAGAAGCTACCACTTTCAAGGTCTTGTGTCTGCCGAGCTCGGCTCCACAGGACTGCTCTGTCTTGGGCACTTGCATCTTTAAATGCCTCTTCTCTTTGGGGCACCTGTCCCTTTAAATGTTTACCTGCTCCTGGGGCATGGCCTCTTTAAATGCGTTCCCTCCCTCCACCCCGACCAGAACTCAGCCACCTTCTTCTGCTGCAGAAGAAGGCACCCTTGCTAGCCAGGAATCCCGTCTCTTCCCACCACTCTTCCAACTACGAGTTCTCTCAGGTTCTCACCTGCTTCTGGCCCCTTTACCAGGTCTTTACCTCTCCTTTCCTTCTGTCCCAGGGCAGATTCCGTAGTCGCAGTCCCGCCTCACACCTACACTTACTTCATATTAATTGGTTATTTTAGCTGCCGCTCAGATTACCTCCATAGGCCCATTGGTGAAGTCGACTGTCGCTCGCGAGCCTGTCAGGGGGCGGGAGTAGTGCTGGGTTGTTATTAGCGACAATCACTGTGTCACTACTCACCCGGAAATGTGGAGGCTGGGCTCCCGGCCCGGGGTGTGGAAGAGAGTGTGGTGGCGGGAGGTCTGGGGCGCAAAAGGAGCAGTGAGGATTTTTGGGTGCTCCTATCTGCTGCTGGAAATAAAAGCTTGACTCTAACCTTCGTTCTGTATTCAGAGTCTTGTCTGCATGGTTGTTTTCATTAACCATGACTCTAGGCTAAAGGGTCAGGGGCTGCTACTGGTGTCAGAAGGGATTTTATATTGTAGCAGAGGGACAGCAAGAAATGTCAGCGTTGCCTTTGGGGTAGGAAGATCCTGGAGGTAAGCTTTTAGTGTGTACAACTTTCATTTGTCTCTTTTTTAAAAAAAGATTTTATTTATTCATTTTTAGAGAAAGGGTAAGAGGAGACGAGAGGGAGAGAAATATCAGTGTAATTGCTTCTCGCAAGCCTTATACTGGGGACCTGGCCTGCAACCCAGGCATGTGCCCTGGACTGGGAATGGAACTGGTGACTCTTTGGTTCATTGCCTGAGTGCAATCCACCGAGTCACACCAGCCAGAACTGTCCCTGTTTTAAATGATAAAGCTAATGAAACCTCTTGGACAAGAAAAACCCTTGCCCTACCTTGCCCCAGATGATGCTTGGTTTAAACATCATCTCTCACAGTGACAGCAGCGCTAGGGAGTGCCATGTGGACCACTCTACTAACTTACTCTCATTTCATGTCCTTTGAAATGCTTCCTAAAAATGCTTCTCAAACCTTAATCTTCATACCAATCACCTGGGGACCTTGGGTGGGGCCTGGGAACTACATTTAACAAGCTCTCAAGTCATGCTAATGCTACTCTGGTCTATGAACTTTTGTTTTCTGTAGCAAAGATTTAAATTTCATTCATCACTGGGAGGACTGCTGAACCATGCCCAGCCTCATTTGACTTTCCTAAAAACCCTCTTAGATGGTTTTTAGATCATTCTTTCTCAAGTGATAAGCACAGAATTTTTCTAAAAAGGATTTTATTGTCCTACTTGCCTCATTAAATAAGCCATGTGCTCTATTATGTTTTAAAAAATTTTTTTAGAGAGGGGGAGAGGGAGGGAAACTTCAATGTGTGGTTGCCTCTCATGCTCACTCCACCGGAGACCCTGCCCGCAGCAGCCCAGGTATGTGCCCAAGACTGGGAATTGAACCCTTTGATTCGCAGGCCAGCACTCAACCACTGAGCCACACCAGCCAGTTATTTTTATTAGTACTAATGGTAATTTTTGGGAGGTGAAATCCCCCCCCCCCCAACTCGAACATAAGCAGCTCTCGTCCAGTCCTCAGTGGTTGCTCAAGCTCAAGCATGCACCAGAATCACCTGGAGAGCTTGTTAAATGTCACTGGGTCCAACCTTTTTAATTAAGTAGGTCTAGGGTGGAGCCCAAGAATGTGCATAATTTTTTAATTTTTTTTTTTAGATGGGAAGGGAGGGCGAGGCATCAATTGGTTGCCTCTCATGTGCCCCGAACTGGGGACCTGGCTGGCAACCCAGGCATGTGCAATGACTGGGAATTGAACTCATGACATTTTGGTTTGCAGGCCAGTGTTCAATCCACCGAGCCACACCAGCCAAGGCCCAACAATGTGCATTTCTAATGAGTTTCCAGAGGATGTTGGTGCTTTTGGGCCAGGAACCACAGCTGAACTATGGCTCTTGGAATAATTGGATGGAAGACAGGTAAAAGGTGGTAGATCAATCTCCTTTATTTACTACCAGTTATCTTTTTATAATTAAACTTTTTATTTTAGAGGAAACATCAATTTGTTGTTTCATTTATTTATGCATTCATTGGTTGATTCTTCTGCGTGCCCTGACCAGGGATCAAACCTGCAACCTTGGCCCATTGGGATGACGCTCCAACTAACTTAGCTACCTGACCAGGGCCAATATTACTATTTTTTGAAGTACAGGGTAAACTATGATTTGGTGAAATGTTTCTTGGACAGCTCCAGTTTACACCTATAATCTCAAAAGTTAGTGCTGTAACTACCTATACGTGAATAGTTGAAATCCTCACATCCAGGCCAATTCAATTAAGTCAACACTTCTAGGAATGATTTATGAATCAGTACTTTTAAAGCCCTGCAGGTGGTTCCGTTGCTCAGCCAAAGTGAGAACCACTGAAAACAACCCCCAAATAATGTGCCCAGGCCTTAGGCCTGGCAGGAAGTGGAGAACAGTAGCAGCCTCTAGCTGATAGCCTCCCCCACCCCCCATTTAGCCTCATGTGCCCTTCAAATATCAGGACCATGTTAAAGAAAGCATCCCTGACTGTGGGAAACGGTTAACTTGTTTTGATGAGATGATGTTACCCCTATGTAATCTCCCTCTTTGCCTATCTTCAGCCAGTAGTTAGATCAAAATATTATGTCAGTAGATGTTTGACAGCATGTCTGCTTTTAAGATTAGATTAAAAACCAGTTACCTGAATGTTGAAATAAACCTCATTATCAGCAAAGAGCTGGGCTTTTGCTACTGAAGGGCATATAATTAGAACCATGATACTGAATGTGATGCTCACCCTGAGAGGGGAAAGCCTTTACAAGAAGAGAACTTGATTATAAAAAATCTTCCTCTTTAATCAAGGCTTTTAACATGAAACAGGTTTCTTGAATAAAATGGAAAGTTTCCAATACATTGAAACATAAATCACCACACATACAACACCCGGCAGGAAAAAAACAACACAGCAAGTTTACACAATCCCTGTAACAGCCATGGTCTTATTCTCAGATGCTTCCTCTGTCTGCCAAGTGCGTTCTGCTGGACACAGAGCTCCTCGGTTCTGGGGTCGTGCTCAGCAGAGGTGGCAAAGCCCAAAGAGCGCTCCTGTGGCTGGGATGTGGTGCTGCTGGCTCTGCTCAAGGAGCAAAGCAGTCACCAGCACATCAAACAGTGTATTTTAAATATCGTTTAAATGTCAAAGTGAGAAACAAGAAGGCAACACAATAATGGTATCAGCAATGTTAGCGAGTGAGGACAGCTGTGTTAAGCTTGAGGCTGAAAGGTGGTTCCTCAGCTTCATTTCTTTGGCTTCTTGGGCAGTGGCCGCCGGAACAGCAAGATGTGAGGCTCTGAAAGAGTGAGTGAAACCTAAGAGACAAACTCACGCCATTCTGTGCACAATCTATAGGGTACCATACTCCCATTTTCCAGCTGTCACTCACTCAGATCTTAATAACTAAATTAAGATTTAAGCAAACACTAAAGCAGAACCCATATGCCTGACTTATCTGCCAAGTATAGAATTGTTAATGAGTTCTTTTGCCATGTTTGTGAAGCAAGGGTTGAAGTGGGGAGTGGCAGGGGGCTTTATTAGTTTTGCCTGACAGCCTGGTGTCTCATCAGGAATTATACTTTCTTTGGCTTATTTGGTCTTTAAAGTTTTTTAGAGAGGGGGGCAGGGAGGGAGAAAGAAAAGAGAGGGAGAGAAATATCCATGTGTGAGAGATATATGTCAGTTGCCTCTTGCACACCCCTCACCAACCAGGGACCTTGCCTGTACCCCAGGCATGTGCCCTAACTGTGAATCAAACCAGTGATCTTTTTGGTTTGCAGGCTGGCACTCAATCCACTGAGCCACACCAGCCAGGGCTTCTTGGCTTATTTGGAACACATCCAAGAATTCTATTTCTGATGGGGAAAGAAGCAGGGGCCATAACCTTTCCCAGGATATACATGGCCTTAAAAAGAGAGTACCCTCTGAGTAAATTAGATATTAAAGGAAGTTTTTCAGTGACAGTTTGTCGCTGAACTTTCCAGATATTTTGCATTACTCTTATTTTTGGCCACTCCAGTTTTTTAGATGACTGGTGGGGTACAAACAAACAAACTAACAAACGGTAAACCACTCTTGCCTTCACCTTATTTCTTTGGGTTGTACAATCTATCACTCCCTCAGTGAAGCAGCCCTACATGGTTATTTCAGCCATTGCACTGACCTGGTTCATGGATCATGTAATGGACCCATCCCTGACTCTGCTGAACACCCAGATTCCTCCATTCAGATTCAGACATCAAATGGGTTTTAGGGACCAGCTTGGCTATGTCCTTGGGCAACATGACATGCCTGTAATGGAAACATGGGAAGAAAGGGCATTTGTGTTACTAGTGGGTATGGTTTGTTCGACAAGTACAAAAGCCAACGAGTATAAAAGCCTGAATACAAAGCTGAGACACAAAAGAAAAGAGAAACCAGTTTCTGTCAGCAGCAAGTTTATATCATCTTATTCTGGGGTAGAGGCAGCTAGAAATCAAGGCCAACATATGTAGATCCTCAAGGAAGTAAATTTAAAAGTACAAATTAATGAATAATTCAAGTGAATGGGCACTAAATTCCAGGCACTGTTGATACATTGCCTCTGCCCTCCCGGAGCTTAGTCTTCTAGTTGATTCTCCCAACTTCTAGTTGATTCTCCTGAAGCACACATGGTGTTAATAATTAAAGGTGATTTTACACAGGACTGGTAAGGGAGAGATGTGATTTTTATGGAGAAGAAAGGTCTCTTACGAGGTGCTGTGTAGAAAAGCCATCACAAAGGATGAAATAATGTCAATGTCTTAGCCTTTAAATCTATTCTCAATTTCATTTTCCTAATTCTGAAGGGATGTGCTATGAGACTTCCTTTGGGAAACTCCATGCTTTCCTAACCAAGTCTCCTTTCATGGCCAGGAAATTACTTCTCTGCTTTGAACTGGGCTAACCTAGATAGATAGACTTCATCATGCTCAATGAAATCATACCAGTAACATGATTTTTTTCTAAACAGAAATGTAATTCCAGTTTAAATATCTAAAAATAACTTAAATTCTAACAAGTCCCCAGCACAAATACCCCTGGCTTCAATACCTAATTAGACAAAAAACAACATAAAAAACCCCCATAAAAACCCAAAGATTTTCTTAAACCTAAATATCACTGCCAAATCTTAGAGGATTAAACTAGTGACTTCCTCCCTAGCCCTGCAATGTGTTATAAGCACATAGTTTTAGTTAGCTGGTTCAGTTGTAGAGGAAAACGGCCGAGGGATCGAAAGTTAACTGGGTCCAAGCAGAACCTGGGGTCTTTTCCGGCGGACGCGACATAAAGATGATTAATGCATTTGTCAGCACACAATGAATTCTCCATAGTGCCCAGAGCCCTGTACTAAGCTGGAGAAGAAACACAAGCAAGATTCCACTTTATGGTCTTCAATCAAGTAGACAGGAAACAAACATGGAAGTTGTCTTAAGTGTTACACTTAATACAATTAGTGGAATGCCAACATTTGTAGAATCCCTTGTCTTCCCTAATTCTCCAATCTAGAATTATGAATTTAGGATTTATCAAATGTAGACTCCGTAGGGATGCCTTTCTTCACAATCCTTGGCAAGTACTAAGTGCTCCCATCACAACCGGTATATATCTATCTCTGCCATACCAATTATTACCTTCTTTCTTAAGTCTGTCACTATTTCCACAGATTTTTTTTTTTAGGTTTGTTGAAAGCGGGGACCATGCTGACCCTTGCACTTTAGTAGAACACCTGAAACCTATAAGCACTCCATAATTGGTTTCCTAAATAAATCCCCTTCAGACATTTGAAGGGTATCCATTAGATCCACGTTAAGTCTTTTCTCAATGCTCCTGGCCAGTTTTATTATTGTACTTTCCAGTTCCTCGAAACCTTCTTCCTAAAACAAGCAGACAACCACGCCCCTTTTCCCTGAGTTAAGGAGCGACACTCAGGCTCTCCAACTCCCCTTGCATCTAAGACGAGAGGAACATTCGAGCTCCGCCCCTGCCCTTTTCCAGTTGCTTCTGTGACTCCATGGTGTTGCTGTGATAGTCTCAAGGTGGCAAGTCAACCTGCTCAATAATTTTAGAAAGATTCAGGGACCCCAAGTGTAAAGGTGGTCAGCAGGCTTAACACCCTGATCATTCCCCGAGAGGGCTTGCTCCAAATTCGCTATTATACTTTTACAATCGCTTACTAGTACTCCTCGCGCATGCGATCTACGCTCACAACGATCACCAGTCCCGTTAACCTGCTGCGCATGCGCTGAGTCTGTCTCCTTAGTCTTAGTGACTAACTCCTCGTGCCCTCACTTGTCAAAGCTTACGACCTCCTCATGGCCCCCGCGCCGGCACTAACCGGTACTCGAACTCTTCGTCGTCGTATTTGTCCGAATAGTAAATTTGTTTGTGCGACATGACCGCTCCGCCCGAAGACCGTCAGCCCCGCGCCACCAACCTCCAAACAACTCCCAGCAGCACGCGCTCCCACCCTCTTTGGCCTCACTTTCAAACGCACCGCCCGCGCTTCCTATTGGCCCTTTCGGCCTAAGGCGGGACAACTCCACCTTCCAGTCGCCTATTGGCTTAAATTTGCTCCTCGTCAAGTCCTTATTGGAGGGCACTTTTTACGTTTCTCAAGAACCGTCTTGGGTGAGAAATGGGCCTCTCACTGGCTAGCGCGAGTTATCGCACTGCCATTGGCTGACTCCGGAAAGTGGGACGGATGTAGGAGGGATGGTGAGGTAGAGGGTCAGGGGTTAGCAAGGCCGGAAGTGAGTGCAATAAAGTTCCTCCAGGGAGGCCTGCCCGGGGAGAAAGTTGGAGCAGCGACCCAAGGAGGCAGTGGCGTGATCCAGAACCAAATCAGCCCGCGGTGCGGTGCAGAGACTCCATGAGGCCCTGGTAAGTTGAGACTGTTTTCCTCCTGAGGTGACCCACTCTTTCGCCCCGGAACCCCTCTCCCGGGACCCTACTTCCGGCCTTCATTTATAAGTCCCGCCCCCTGAGACCCCCTCCCCGGAAGTCCCACCTTCCAGCTTCAGGGGGCTCCCTGAACCCCGACTTGTTTTTTGTTTATTGTCCCTGACCCCACCTTGTAGCCAGCTTTCCTGGAAGTCCCACCCCTAGACATGCTTCCAAACCCTAGTACAAGAAATTCCACGCTAGTCTTTCCAATTCCCTGAAACTCCCGCCTCAGCGCTACGATTCTCTGCCTATCAGAAAGCCTACCTCCCAAAAGGACTAAACTCTGCCCCTCAAAAAAATTACAGTATTCGAATTCTTGAAGCCACACCTTCCTAGGGGCTCCGCCCCTCTTGAAGTACCGCCCCCTCTTTAATCCACGTCGGATTTTCCCGAAGCCTTGCCTCCTATAAACCTCCAAAACAGCGGTCCTAGGGGATTACCCTCCCTAAGGAGGTTTATCTTTGTGGTACCCAGGTCTTTACCTCAGGAGCTTTGCCTTCAGCCCCATAAACTCCATCTGCTCACATTTTCCTGTCTGTTTGCTCTTTTGGGCGTTGGGCTGTTTTCCTGAGCTTCCCGTACTCCGTCAAATGGGAAGTCAGAATTCCCATCTCTGAGTTTGAGGAGTGAGAGATTAGAGACATCCCTTTTCCTTTTCCTTTTCCGTACACCCTTCCAAGGGGGGCTATTTGAAGGAAGCTGGACTTGGGGTTTGGCACGAGGGGGGGAGAGACACTTGCTCATAGATTTCTGGTGCCACTCCCTGAGTTTTCCTTCGCAGGATCGACCCACCCCAGAAATAGCTATAATGTTTCATATGTATACCAGGGGATTTGGTGTGTGACAGGAGCAAAAGTTTTTTACTACCAGAAAATAGTGACTTGGGTGGGTGTAGAGGACAGTTACTCTTTTTGCTTTTTGTTTGTTTGTTTTAAGGAGTTGCTCAGCCTTCACCACTCCTCTGGCTCTTACCCTCCCCCTAACCAGAGTTTTTGTCTGGATATTCCTTTCTGGAAACATTCCTGAGGCTTTCGACATTTCCTGCTACTTCCCTCAGTTCTTGCTGCCTCCTCCCTGCTGGTCTGAGAAGGCAGAGGGCACATGCAGCTTCTCCCCCGCACCCAGTCAGTCACCCCCACTGCCAGTAGGCCAAGCTCCTCTCCCTCTATGCAGAATGAGCCCTATTTCTTCCTCTTTCTTTTCTTACAAATGCTCACACCTGTTGGTCATTCCCTACCTTTCGATGCAGTAGGCTCCTACAGAACACCCATCTGTAAAGATGAAGACATCCCAGTGTGTGTTGGCGGGTGTCGAGAGTGTGAGGTTATGACTGAGCCCTCTCCTTATGCTCTCTATGCTTGAGCACTGAGCCTTAGGAAATGGCGTGAGAGAATTCGTGAGTGGTGGGTGAAATGACAAAGCTCTCCTCTGATGAGGACTGAGGGGAAGTGAGAGCTTAGCATAATATCCAACAGATTTTGAGTGCTGGTATTGTTTATCACTGTAATCAAGTGGTTATTTGCATCTTTTTATCTTCTGAAGTAATTTACAAATAGGTAATTCCAAGGTGAGTTTCAGGAGTATATGTATTTTCCTACTTCCTTTTTGGTTACTTTCCAACTTCCTCTGTGGCTTTCTCAAGCAGAGCTGTGGCAGGAAGCTGTGGGTGGAAGGAATGGGTTTGGGATGGTTTCCCTGTGTCCAGCCTAAGCCCATCTCCTGGCACCCCCCTTCTCCTCTACTTTGCACAGATTTGTCTTCTGCCCTCTCCATCCCTTCATGGTCTCCTACCTGTTTCACCCTCCCACCTCCTCCAACCAGATTTCACCCCTCCTGTGAGAGGAACTGTGTTCCCCAGTGGACACATGCATCCTCACCAGTCACCACTGCAAAAGGAGGGGAATGGCATACCTGGCAGGTCTGGGGGGCAGACCCTGGTGTCATTGCTCTGCTCCTACTTCTACCCTTGACAGCTGGTTTTGCAAACTAGGCCTGTGAAAAAGGGGGTAGAAGAGTGCTTGTCTGTGGGCCACTGTTCCTTGGCGTGGTAGGTGCCATGCACAGAGAAAAAAGCTCCACCAGCCTGCCTTCTCCTCTCCAGCTCCTTTCCCTGATGCACCACCCAGGTTGGACTTTATCCCCTTACCTCATCAGCTGTGCCCTCGTTGGCCCCTCTCTTCATCCAGCAGGATCACTTCCTTCCTTTCCCCATTTCTTTAGCTTCTGTGCACTGCTGTGGAAGCAGAGGTTGCTAATGGCCCGGGCTCCCTGGGGCTACCACCCCTGTGTGTGGTACTAGTGGTGGTGGTGGGGTGGCCTGGGCTGGAAGATAGGGGGAATTTGAGTGTTTAACCAGAACAGGAAGGAAAATGCTGAGCTCGGGGATCCGTTCCCTTTTCTACTCCCCAGCTGCCTCTGTTTCCTCCCTCATTCCTCCCCTACCCTCCCTCAGCTTCCTGCTCCATTTGGCCTGCCCTTGTCCGGTTTGGATTGAGCCAGATCTCCTCTTATCCTGCTCCTTTCCTTCTCACTCTTCCATCCTTCCGTCCCACCCCCACTTTATGTCTCCCCAGATACTAGTTTGTTTGCGGGTGGGGTGGGGTGGATAGCTCTACCTCTGTAAGAGTTCTAGGTTGAGGCAGTGGTGGGGGCTCAGCCCCTCGGAGCCTGTGAGTCAGCACTGTCTTTGGGATTGGTCTTTCCCCTAACTCCCCGCCTCAGGGGAGGAGCCAGGCAGCTGTAGGTCCAGCCTGTTCTTCTCTCAGCCAGAGAAGAGGCCCCAGGCTGGGCGGGGATGGGGATTGAAACTGCCTGGGTCTGAGCTGGGGACGCCAGAGGAGTTGGAGACACTCGTCCCTCTTCCTTCCCAGGACCCTTGAGATCCCTGGACCATAAAGAGCTAATCAAGCTAAGGGCCTGGGGATGCCCCCTGCCTGGCCCCCTTGCCCTGACTGGCAGGGGGGCCAGGCTGGGCAGCAGCCTCCCTCTCACTCCAGCCATGGATCTCCTGCCCCCCAAGCCCAAGTACAATCCACTTCGGAATGAGTCTCTGTCATCGCTCGAAGAGGGGGCTTCGGGGTCCACCCCACCGGAGGAACTGCCTTCCCCATCAGCCTCTTCCCTGGGGCCCATCCTGCCACCTCTGCCTGGCGACGATAGTCCCACTACCCTGTGCTCCTTCTTCCCCCGGATGAGCAACCTGAAGCTGGCCAACCCGGCCGGGGGGCGCCCGGGGCCAAAAGGGGAGCCAGGCAGGGCTGTGGAGGATGGGGAGGGGACTATAGGGGCAGCCATGCCAGACTCAGGCCCCCTGCCCCTCCTCCAGGACATGAACAAGCTGAGTGGAGGCGGCGGGCGCAGGACTCGGGTGGAAGGGGGCCAGCTGGGGGGCGAGGAGTGGACCCGCCACGGGAGCTTTGTCAATAAGCCCACGAGGGGCTGGCTGCATCCTAACGACAAAGTCATGGGACCTGGGGTTTCCTACTTGGTTCGGGTGAGTGAACATCCTCCCTCCCTCTGGTTCCTCTGCTTGCTGTAGCTTTGCTGGGGTCTCTTTTTCCCTGCTCTCCCCCAGCAACTCCCTTGGTTTCAGTGTCCTTTTCCCTAAATCTGTCCTGCTTTTCTGATTCTGTGGCCCCTTCCAGCTCTGCCTGGGCCCCCTTTCCTTCTTGTGACTCCCCTACCCCACCCCCACCGTGCCATGCCTAGCACAATGCCCAGCCCATGGGAGGCCCTTAGTAAGTATTGGAATGAGCGGCTCTTGATTGTTTCTCCAGTCTCCTCCCCCTTTCTAGAGATGTCACTTTATCCCACCCAATGACTGTCACTCCTCCAAATTCTCTTCCCAGATGCATGAGGTCCCCTCAGCTTGCTCTTTCCTTCCCTACTCATTCCTTGTTGTCTTGCATGTTGTGGGCTGTGCGGAACTTCATCTTTACTTCTCCTAGGGACCATGTAGAGAAAAGTCCTAGGACCCTTTGGGGAGGGGCTGTGGGGAGGTGGCTGACGCATGATCTCCCGTCCCTCCCCTCAGTACATGGGCTGTGTGGAGGTCCTGCAGTCAATGCGTGCCCTAGACTTCAACACCCGAACTCAAGTCACCAGGTCAGTGCGGAGGGTGCAGAATGTGGGCATTCTGGAGCTCATGAGGGGAGGAGGGGCGGGTCAGCTGCTGGTGACACTAGTGGTGGCTTGTCTTTGGGTGGTAAAGGGGATGGAGAGAAAGTTAGGGGAGTGAGGATGAGTCTTGAGTGAAAAGAGGCAACTCCGGACTGGATCCTTCTTACTCCTCCAGCCTTGGGAGTTGTGCGGGGAGGTGGCAGAGGCAGCTGGTGGCTGAGGAGAAAACAGGGGTAGATGGAAGGTTTCTGCTGCCTTCGGGAAGGGAATGGGACATTTGGTAGCTGGAAGGGGGTGGGGCCAGTCTGTTGAGGCCCTAACCCAATCAGCCAGGAAGCGGCTTCTCGGTGTCATCAAATATTAAAGGCCCTTAATTCAATCCACCACGACAAAGAGCCTGGAGTGCCCCTGGAGCCTGGCTTGGCCTTCCCCTCCCCCAGCCTCATGGCAGCTCCAGCTGATTGAGAGGATTGAGAGGCAGGCTCTGGGTCTGACGACCCCTCTTTCCCCAGGGAGGCCATCAGTCTGGTGTGTGAGGCTGTGCCAGGTGCTAAGGGGGCTACAAGAAGGAGAAAGGTACCTGGGGTCGATGGGGCTAGGGATGCTTCTGGGAGATGTGGAGGGGCAGGGCAAAGGCAAGTGTGGGACATGGGGGAGAAGGCCAAAAGGCAGGAGTGTGGGGGTTTCTGGGTGTTGGGAATCTCCAGCCTCTGAGACCCTTGGGCACTTCCTTAGCCCTGTAGCCGCCCACTCAGTTCCATTCTGGGGAGGAGTAACCTGAAATTTGCTGGAATGCCAATCACTCTCACCGTCTCCACCAGCAGCCTCAACCTCATGGCCGCAGACTGCAAACAGGTTGGTGGAGCTGGGCAGGGGGACCAGAAACACTGATGGGAGGGCTTAAGCGGGGACCTGGCCTTGAGGGCGAGAAACTAGGAGCAGCAGGATAGTAGGGTAGGAGGAGATTAGGAGGACATGAATCAAGAAGCCAGAAGGATGGGACTGAGTCTCCAGGGTTCTGGGCTAGGGGTGGGGGTGCTCAGGTGAGTCCTGAGGCTGCCTGACACTTATCATTCCCTTCCTTCTCCATCTCCTGCCCTAACCTTCAGATCATTGCCAACCACCATATGCAGTCTATCTCATTTGCATCCGGCGGGGATCCGGTGAGTTGGGGAGCAGAGCAAAGGTGGTGGGAGAAGAGTAAGAGACAGGGATTGGGAAGACATTGGCCAGAGAAGTGGGCATACTAGGATGGAGGTGATACCTGAAAAGGACTGCGATTTAGGGGTTAGGAGTGACGTGGAGCTATCAAATTTAGCTAATTGACCTCTTCTGACTCTGTTCACCCCAGGACACCGCTGAGTATGTCGCCTATGTTGCCAAAGACCCGGTGAATCAGAGAGGTGAGGCGTGGTGGGGAGCACTGGGTAGGGCCGGCTGTCTGTGAGGCAGGTGAGCAGTGCACCAGAAGCTAAGCAGGGGCTCTGGCTGAGGAGGACGAGTTCTTGTTTGCACCTCCTCCCAGCAACCCCACCTCACAGCTCACTGACAGCCTCTGCTGTGCCCTCAGCCTGCCACATCCTGGAGTGTCCCGAAGGGCTTGCTCAGGACGTCATCAGCACCATTGGCCAGGCCTTTGAGTTACGATTCAAACAATACCTCAGGAACCCACCCAAGCTGGTCACCCCCCACGACAGGTGAGTGGTAGAAGAGGGAGGGGGAGTTACTGGACCCCAGACCAGAACTAGGAAAGTACGTCTGCTATTCCCACACTTGAGCTCAGAATGGTTCAGGGAAGGAAATAACCTGTGTGCCCCTGCTTCCCACTTCCTGCTATTCTTAAGTTTCCGGTGGCTATCAGGAAATTATTTTGGAGGCCCGGGTTGCTGCAGGGCCAGCTCTCCCCTCACTTGCCTGTGGTGGAGCTGTAGTCTGGGACCTGGCTGGACTGGCTTTTCATTCCCTACTGCCTTGTATCTGGCCTGTCCCTCTTTCTTGCCCATTCTCCACCCCTAGTTCTTTGATTTTCCTTCCCCTAGAAGTCATTGAAAGTTTGAGTGAGGGAGGATGGCTCTTTCCTGAGATCCCTACCTTTCCTCAGGCCAGTAGGTGTTGAGTATTGACGGGAGGTTAAAGTGATCTGGAGCAGCCCCTCCCTGTGGTTTAGCGTCTCCCCTCCTGGAGGAGGCTGCGCACAGTAATCAAGATTTGACTTTCAAGTCAAATCTGAATTTACATTTCAGCTGAACCACCTTTGTTGTGAGACCTGGGGCAAATGTTTTCACCTGTGTTCCTCATTCTCATCTATAAAACTGGGGAAGGAAGTACTGCCTACCATATAGGGGTGAGAGAGGATGAAATGATTATATAAAACACCTAGCCTAGGGCCTGCCTGAAGGGAATCCCAGTAGTGGCAACCATTGTTCTGTTCTCCTCCCTCCCACATTCTTCACTTCCTCCTGTTCCTCACAGGATGGCTGGCTTTGATGGCTCAGCCTGGGATGAGGAGGAGGAAGAGCCACCTGACCATCAGTACTATAATGACTTCCCAGGGAAGGAACCCCCTCTTGGGGGGGTGGTGGACATGAGGCTTCGGGAAGGAGCCCCCCCAGGGCCTGCTCGACCCACTCTGCCCAGTACCCAGACCCCCAGCCACCTGGGAGCTACACTGGTAAGTTGCTTGTATAGAGGTGGGTTGGGCCCAGGATAGGAGTGGTCTCACCTTATTTTTGTCACTTTCAGCCTGTGGGGCAGCCTGTGGGGCCAGACCCAGAAGTCCATAAGCAGATGCCACCTCTGCCACCCTGCCCAGGTATGGAGGGAGCTTACTGGGACAGAACTGGGGGTGCAGGAGGCAGGGCTGGGGCCATTGAAAACCTCCCTTTCCTCAGCAGGCAGAGAGCTCTTTGATGATCCTTCCTACGTCAACGTCCAGAACCTGGACAAGGTCCGACAAGCAGGGGGTGGGACTGGACCCCCCAACCTTGCTGTCAATGGCAGTGCGCCTCGAGACCTCTTTGACATGAGTGAGTGCTTTTTTTCCCATTCTGCATCTCCATCTGCCTACTTTCCTTCTGCTCCTTCCTTCCTGGTCTCACCTCCCTGAAGGTTCTGGGTCCTGAGCATGTGTTGTCCCAGCCGCCTCTCCTAGTCTAGTCCTTTCTCTGCACCCCTAGAGCCCTTCGAAGATGCCCTTCGGGTGCCTCCACCTCCCCAGTCAGTGGCCATGGCTGAGCAGCTCCGAGGGGAGCCCTGGTTCCACGGAAAGCTGAGCCGGCGGGAGGCTGAAGCCCTGCTGCAGCTCAACGGGGACTTCCTGGTGCGGGAAAGCACGACTACACCTGGCCAGTATGTGCTCACTGGCTTGCAGAGCGGGCAGCCCAAGCACCTGCTACTGGTGGACCCTGAGGGTGTGGTGAGTGTGGCAGGGGTACAGGTGGAGGTGGCACAAAGGGAGGCGCAGTACCCTCTTGTGCAGCCCTGTTCCTGCCCTTATTGCTCCTTAGATTTTCCCAGCTGGGCACCTCGATATGGGCTTTTCCTGCTCTCAAGGTGCCTGGCATCCCCCATCCATTGGCTTAGGGTTCCTTTCCTTCTCACGTTCCTGAGCTGGAGCTGTGTTCTCTTTAGTCCTGGCCAGTCCTCAAATCCCCAGACTATGCCTAGGAGAGCGAAAAGGTGCTTATCTTACCTGAGCCCCTTTCTTGATAAATGAGGTAACCATCCTGGAGAGGTTGTGCTCAGTGTCAGATGGTTACATTGGACATCCCAAGTTTCCTCTTATAAGGGAGCCATGGACCCCCTCCCTTCTCCAGCCTCAGGGCTCGGGCCAGTGTCCTGCTCTTACTTGCATTGCCCCACTGTGTCTCATAACTCTGCTCTCTCTCCTGCAGCAATCTTGGCCTCCTTTCCATTCTTTCTGTACTGCATATTGTCCCCTGAGATTTGCCACCTTCCTCTAAGGGAGGAGTAGATACCCTTCACAACTTTTCCTGTCCCCTTGGCCTGTTCTCAGTTCGTGACCTTCCCATTCCCACGGCCTCCTGCCCCTGGCATCTTTTTCTCCTTTCCCAGTCTTCTTGAATACTGTAGCTTCTTCCTCTGGCTTCTGGGCTGAGTCTTACTTGACTCTCCATCAGAATCGACCCTCTCCCTTCCCACTTCCCAGGTTCGGACAAAAGATCACCGCTTCGAGAGTGTCAGTCACCTCATCAGTTACCACATGGACAATCACTTGCCCATCATCTCTGCGGGCAGCGAACTGTGTCTACAGCAACCTGTGGAGCGAAAATTGTGATCTGTCCCAGGTGCTTTTCAGAAGACACCCTTCAGCCCCTTCCACTGTTCCTCTCAGGGCCTCACTCTGGAGTGTCCTGTGGGCTTGGCCTCGTGCAGGAGCTGGGGCGGTGTGGACACTGGGTTTGGTGCCCAGCTCAGGGAGAAAGTATGAGTCAGGAGCCTGGGGGAGAATCCTACTTGTCCCCAAACCTCACCAAAGTATTAACCTAGAGTGGCCCCCTTCCCAGGGCCTTTCCTGTGCCAACCCGATACCCTCTTCCTCAGGAAGGTGGGTGCTCAAGGCCCGGGCAGTGTGCCTCGGTGGGAAGTGGCCTGTGGTGTTAGGCAGTCACCCTTCCAGGAACAGGGAGCAAATCACATTTGTGGTCCACCCCTGGGCTCAGGGTACTCCAGCCCATCTCAACAGCTCTCCCTTCCCAGTGTTGAAACTTTGTGCCTTTGACCATCTCCTAGTTAAGATACTGTATTTTATGCAGAGTTCTCGGGCCCCTGAGGTCAAGGATAGGGGTGCTGACACCTTGGCTTCTGGGACCTGTCCTCTCCTTGTTCAGCACCCTCTCCTCTGGGGAGAACAGAGGCCCCAGGTGGCAGCTGTTCCCTCTCCCTGGGCATATGCCACCTTTACAGATTTCCTCAGAGCCCCCCTCCCAGCTGGGGGGAGATGGACTCCTTCTTTGTTCAGTGCCTCCTGGCGGAGCTCCTGACTCCAGGGGTCTGTATATACATGCCCCTCATCCCTAGCCCTTCCGTGTTGCATGCGTGTTGTGTTCTACCGCCAAAGTGTCGCCCTTCCTCCTGGGTCCTGCACCCTGCCGCCCTGTGCTAGGGCGGTGGGGGTGTGACAGAATTGGGGCCTCCCGGACTGTTAGCTCTCCCAGATGGATTTGGTGGAGGCAGGACTGGGCGCCGAGACTCAAAAGCAGTAGACAATCCCCAAGTACTGCCTACAGATTTGTAACTGCATTTATTTTTTATTTTATGCATATATTTTAGGGTTGTATATATACTTTCCTAATTTGTTCCCCACGGCTTATTCTTGAGCACAAAATGATGGTAATAGATTACGTTTATACATTCACCTCTTCGACTTCAAAGCCCTTTCACAACAGTTGGCTTTTCTCTCACCCCTGCCTGGGAGGCAGCGGGCCCCTGGGAGGCAGCGGGCCGGGTCGTTCTCTTTTCTGTGAGCCCCAGGTCAGAAGTCCGCTGTGGGGCGGACAGGGCGGGAAGCACTTGGGCCCCTTACCGAATGGCGGGCAGGGGGCAGTCCGGCCGACCGTCAGTTTCACCGTTTCTCTGGTGGGCTGAGGGCGGGGAACCTAAAACCCGCAGTTACCCAGTCGAGTCTGGAGCAGCCACAATGACGTGGAAGCCGGCCGGGCCCCGTCTCTAGGGGAGACTGTACTGAATCCGCCTCCTTTTTGTTGTTTGGATGATTTCACGGGTCTCACTTATACCAAAGGGAAAGAAATCTTCATTAAAATACATTTCTTACACCTCAGCCTCTCAGTCACTGTCGCTATCTATTGTTCGCTCTGGGCCCTTCGTGGTGGAGAGTTGGGGTGGTGGGATCCGCCTGGCTTAGCTCGAGCTGTTGGCCGCGTGACCACAGGGGTGCGCCGGGAGGGTGCGACAGGGTAGCACCGTTGGGACCACCGTCCGGAGCACTTTTGTGTTCCCAATGGGGACTGAGGTCTGAGCGGCCTGGCCTCACGGCCACACTCCCCTGTGCCGTGGCACCTCCGGCCCTGGATGGTACGATCCAGCCGAGGGCGGGGGCGCCCACTGCCGCCTGTTCCAGGGCACAAGCCCGCACCGCTGCCTCAAGTTGCACGTTCCCCCGCCCAGGTCGTGCGGTGGTACGGCCCTGCCCCCTGGCGGAGCTCTGGGAAGGTCTAGCCCGGACCCTGCCTCCCCCTAGCCAACTCAGTGGTGGCGGCCAAGCTGAGTTCCGGTTCCGGTGGCTGTGGCCGCAGGCGGGCAGTGAAGCTGGGATCTGCGCGTTCTTACCACTTCACATCAACTTCTGCCCTCTGCCACACTCTGGGTGGCCACAGCTCGGGGGCGTGTGCTGCCCCCGACCCCCTTTCCGGGAGATGGTACGGCCTGAGGGCGCGTCCGTCCCCTGCCGTCGCTGACCCGGGTCCCCCACTCCATGGCCGCGTCGGCGCCGCCCCCACCGGACAAGCTGGAGGGAGGTGGCGGCCCCGCGCCGCCCCCTGTGCCACCCAGCACCGGGAGGAAGCAGGGCAAGGCCGGTGAGAGCGCTGAGAGGGCTGGAGGTTGGAGAAGCCGAGGAGTTGGGGGTCTTGGAGGGAGACTAATTGGGCGGGGGAGGCGGGAGTCCGTAGGCCGAGAGGCCGGGAGAAGATGTGTGAGCCAAGCCCTCCAGGGGTTTGGGGCAGGTGTCCTGGTTTGGAGGCACGTGGAATTTCAGGAGTCATTTGGGAATCTGATAGTGTCAAGAGATGGGGTGTCTCATTTAAAGGAAGAGGCAGCTGAGAATGTGGTAATGTAACTTACTTTTCATATTACACTTTTGTAAGTACTTATCTGTTGTAAATAAGTAAGCGTATTTTCATATTAGGAGAGTTCCTGCGAACATGCCTGGGAGAAAGGAGGTTGGGGAAACCTCAGGGAAACTTGTTTGTGTTTTGCTGCTCTTCCAGGTTTGCAAATGAAGAGCCCAGAAAAGAAGCGGAGGAAGTCAAATACTCAGGTGAATGGTGGTTGGTGGGCGTGAGAATTCTAGCAGCCCTCCCTCCCTGTACTCTCCACTCTGTCACTCCAGTGTCTTTCTTGGGCAGGGAGAAGAGAAAGCTGTCTCTTTGGCCTGGTCCTGTCCTTCAGCTTCATAACAAGTTTGCAGGGGGCTGGGAGATGAGATGATTTGACTGAAGACCTTATCAGTCAGGTTTAGAATCTTCCTCTGCCATTTTTCCTGTTCTGGTTCCTTCATAATTACAGCACCCATCACTGACTTTTTCTAGGTGCCGAGGATTGTGCGGTACTGCTTTAACAGTTTTGGGAGGTGGGTAGCTGACTCTTGCAGATAAAGAATCTGAGGGTCTTGAGGTTATTCGGTGTCAGAGCTGGGATTTCAGCAGAGTTCTGCCCGTTTTAAAAACACAGTTACTGCTCTGCGTTCCCCCCTGTTTCTCTGTTACGTTCTAATGTCTGTCTTGATTTTAGATCTGAGGTGGCTGGAGCCAGCCTCCAAAATGTGCACTCTGTTTCTGGTGCTCTCCTGGTTGAGGTCTGCACTTCCCTCCCTGACTTGCTCTTTCCCTCATCTGTTCTCCACTAGGGCCCTGCATACTCACATCTGACAGAGTTTGCACCACCCCCGACTCCTATGGTGGATCACCTGGTTGCATCCAACCCTTTTGAGGATGACTTCGGAGCCCCTAAGGTGGGGGGCACGGCCCCTCCATTCCTTGGCAGTCCTGTCCCCTTTGGAGGCTTCCGTGTTCAGGGGGGCATGGCAAGCCAAGTACCCCCAGGCTACGGCACTGGAGGTGGAGGGGGTCCCCAGCCTCTTCGTCGACAGCCACCCCCTTTCCCTCCTAACCCTATGGGCCCTGCTTTCAACATGCCCCCACAGGGCCCTGGCTACCCACCCCCGGGCAACATGAACTTTTCCAGCCAGCCCTTCAACCAGCCTCTGGGCCAGAACTTCAGCCCTCCTGGTGGGCAGATGATGCCGGGCCCGGTTGGGGCATTTGGTCCCATGATCTCTCCAACCCTGGGACAACCTCCCAGAGGGGAGCTGGGTCCTCCTCTCCCCCAGCGCTTTGCCCAGCCAGGGGCACCTTTTGGCCCTTCTCTTCAGAGACCTGGTCAGGGGCTCCCCAGCCTACCCCCCAACACAAGTCCCTTTTCCGGTCCAGATCCTGGCTTTCCTGGCACTGGTGGTGAGGATGGGGGGAAGCCCTTGAATCCACCTGCTCCCACTGCTTTTCCTCAGGAGCCCCACTCAGGCTCCCCTGCTGCTGCTGTTAATGGGAGCCAACCCAGTTTCCCCCCAAACAGCAGTGGGCGCAGTGGGGGCACTCCAGATGCCAACAGTCTGGCACCCCCCAGCAAGGCAGGTGGGGGCTCAGGGCCCCAGCCTCCTCCGGGCCTGGTGTATCCATGTGGTGCCTGTCGGAGCGAGGTGAACGACGACCAGGATGCCATTCTGTGTGAGGCCTCCTGCCAGAAGTGGTTCCACCGAGAGTGCACGGGTATGACTGAGAGCGCCTATGGGCTGCTGACCACCGAGGCTTCTGCAGTCTGGGCCTGTGATCTCTGCCTCAAGACCAAGGAGATCCAGTCTGTCTATATCCGCGAGGGCATGGGGCAGCTGGTGGCTGCCAACGATGGGTGATGCTGGCCAGGTGACCCAGGGAAGTGCATACATTCCTCCCTGCTCTTCCAGGGTGAATGTTTCGTGTCTGGCTCTTAGTCCCTGTTTCCACTGGCTTCCCGTCCCCCTGGAGCAGAAACAGTGGCTCCTGAGGGCAGAAGAGGGACTGGGGTGGGCAGGCAGGAGAGCCTGGGTCGCTCACTGTTGCGGAAACTTTCCCGTGGAGATCTACAGAGATCCAGGAAACCAAAGCCCTGCTGAGCAGAGCCATTTTTTGTTGGCAGTCTCTAGAAGCCTCTAGGGGTATGGCTGCAAGAGAAAAGAGGCTGGAGAAAGATCTGGAAGGCAGAGGTGTCCCCTCTGCAGAAGTATGGACATCCCGAACACCTGTGCCTAACATGCCTCTATCTAGCCCCACAGCTCCAGCCTTAGTTTTTGGAGTCAAGTGTTAAAAGGTTTCCGGCCAGAGGAGTTCGGATCTCTTCCCATTCCCTACGGTAGTAGCCCTTCCATGGGCTCTGAGAGACAGCGTTTGGGAAGAAAAAGGGGTTGTCCCCTTTTCCTACTTCCCCTTAACACCTCCAAAACCTGCTCAATGCTTCCTGGCTCGGAGAACCAAATAGCCTGAAGAAACAGGAGAGTTCTTGGCCATGGCATTTTCTCGGTGATTTGGGGCTTCGAGACAGTAAGGGGTGCTGTCAGGACACATTTCCCGTATACCAAAGTCGCTGGTCCTTTCTCAGCCTCTCGAGCTTTTCTGCTAATGACCATATTACTTTTGCCAAAAATTGGGATATGTGGTCTGACAGACCAGAGTATTTGGAAGTTTGGACAGCCCTGGAAGCCTGTACTGTGTTGTACACCCACCGCCGGCCCTGCCCAGCTGTTGCACATTGTTCTCAGTGTTGGCCCTCAACTTCTGGTGCCCTCCTTCCCCCACCTCTCTGGCTTGATTGTAGGAGAAAGCTTGAAAGGGCACAGGGCCCTTATACCTCACTTCTTCTGATAAAAGGATCCCTGTCACAGCCTGTGGGTGGGGGAGGCAGCAGTGCCCTCACGCCAAGGTACTGAAAACGCAGTTCAGAGCTTGGGTGTTTCTTCTCTTTTTCCCTGCTCGTTAGATTCTCAGGCCTGGTGTTCTAGTACTCATTTCTCAGCCAGAGTCCTGTTCTGTGCTTTGTTACTTTAAAGCACTGCCTGCCAGAGATGGGCCTGGGTGCCCCTCACCACTGATACTTTAAAAGCTTGTGCACACATTGCTCAGTGGGGTGGGGAAGGCAGCCTGAGAGGGTAGTGGTTGCCCAGACCCCAGCATGTGCAGAGGAGACAGAACTCAGCTTGCCTGCCTACTTGGGGCCAGCCGCCTTTGAGGCTTCGGGAAGAAAGGACACCGGTCCCGCCCCGTCCTGTCCCCCACTCTAAAACAACAGAGAGTGGCTGGTCAACTTTGTGTTGTGGTTCTGTTGTCCCCTTTCATCTGTTGCTATTTTTGTGCTGCCTTCCCCCACATCAGCATTTTGTAAAGTGGCTCCTGTGGGAAGCCTGCTCAGTCCCTCCCTCATTGTTTTGGAGGAACGTGGGGGCGGCAGAGTTGTGGTGGTGGGAGAGGGGTCTTTTGTACCGTTGGATTAATAAAATGATTTTAAAACCCAGACAGGGACCCGCTGCTGTTGCTGTGCACGAAGGTTGGGATGGGCAAACGTCACTGCTGGGGAGGGCACTGGGGGTGGGGGTCCTAGTTAGTGGGAACGGCAGAAAGATCTGGCCTTGTAGCTGAACCTGGGTGGAGGGCGTCCTGCACGCCCCCTTTTTACATTCGCATTCCCCCAACCTCTCCCTCCGTCCCTGCTACGAGGAGATTTCTGAGCACATTCCTGGGCCCGGCCTGGACCCTAGCAGAGGCTTGTGTCCTAGGCCTCAGGGAAGCAAGTGCCTTTAGCGCCCACCCTCCAACCTCCAGTTATTGGGTTAGGAGTCGAATGTAGCTCCAAGGGTTGGGGGAAAGGGCAGCCCCGGCCTGGCTCAGCAGATGTCATTTGGGGATGCTTTTCAGGCCCCTCTCCTTTTAAACAAGGGGTGACACCCTTAATCTGCACGGGAGCAGAAAGGGGAGGGCGGCAGGAAGGCTATTTCCAACCACGACTTGCCACTCT